GCCCTTAGATGTAGCTGGGCTGGTTCTGGGTCTAGCTTTTGAGGCTCGACGACCCGTCGGGCCGGGCTGGGTCGTGAACCGGCCCGACTGATGGCCATATCTACACTAAACAGTAAACAATCATTCAAAAGCTCATTGCCCATTCGTTTACGTAGTGTACTTTTAATGATTTTCATTGTTGAAAAAGCTCTTTCCACTATAGCGCAACCGGTAAAATCAACAACTTAATCAACAGGTAAACTAATGGAAAAATATCAAGTTTTTTTTTTTTTTCTTGACACCATCTTTTGAGCAAGATCTCCAATATTGGGTACATTCAAAAAGTTTTCATCCAAGCGCATGCCAAAAATGAAATTCTCGAGTTGATTTTCAAGTTTATGTAAAGCATTGTAAGATCTCTGATGGATAAAATTCTCCGGACGGAGCAATTTTCCTTTGTTAAGCACAGAAAATGACACTATCGGATCAAAGCATACCATTGGTAAGAGTCAGGGACGGACCTAGGCAGGGGACCGTAGGAGCACGCGCCCATGTGCAATTTTTTTTAAAAAAAATTAGTACATATATAATTATAATGTAAAATAATTATAGAGAGATTTTTTTAAAATTTAAGTTATTTGCATTTTGTATTTGTATTATGTAGGCAACATATATAAATGAGTTACATCGATTTTCCACAAAAGTATAAATTGAATTTTAGGTGTTCTTAAAATTACAACTATAAGTTTAAAATTAGCTACTAAATTATTTTTGTCATTGATTTTTAACTAATAAAATATTTATCTTTATTATAAAGAAGTCCACGGATGATGAAGTTGTAAAAATATCCAAAGAAAAAAAAAATGTCGGTATATATTTAATGAGATTTAAATTTATGTAATTATGAGTGATATAATATATATGATATGCAGAGAATAAATATAATTTTTTTTTACACTTTGTAAAATATTACGTTTGTGCCTAATCAGTCTTGCGAGTCTGCGTCCGCCCTGGTAAGAGTAGCTTTGTGTTCACTTCATTTAAGATCTTAAGCTAGCATATCAATCACGGAATAAAACAACTCAACTCGATAATGGTGAAGATTAGTGGGTTTTTCAACGTTTCGCCTTGGTCTTCCTCGAGTTGCATACAAACCTTCTATGTTCATGTTCATGTTTGCCACAATACTTAAAAACTTTCGCAAGTGAATCGTTCCAACCATTATCTCTGATGGTTTGCATAAAACTTTAAAACTTTAACAAGTTTCATCGTATTTGAAGTCACAATTTAAAAGGAAAAAGAAAAAATATTATATGAGATTATATGGGTCATAGTATCATCCCAGCCATCCAATTAAAAAGGTAAAGAAATCTATTGATCAATGAAGATTTTTCAATAGGTCAAGATTTCCATTTTTCAATGACTTGATAATCACCATTCTAGCAAACAAATGAACTATTCACAAACAAACCAATCCCAAAAAAACAAACAAACAAACAAATACTAATAAATGTGGAAAGATAGAAAAATACTTTGAATTTTCACACATAAACAAACACAAACACACATCCTTTATGCCATGAGCAGCTTACAAACACAAAGAACAACAACACTTTGTACAGTACTTGATTTCTCACAGCTCAATTATGTAGCAAAACAACTGCAGAAAAAAAAAAACCCCAATTGCATTTAATCTCTCTCAAGAACATGTTGACCATCCTTTAATCTTCTCATCAGAAATACCTCCTTGTGTGGTATCATCATCACCATATGAGCTCAACATGGCCCTTTTTGCAAACAGATATATGTTTTCATGTTAAAGGGATATTTCCTTCTCAACCGACTCGATTGAGAAGGGAGTAGTGTGGCTTCTGTGATACTCCTCTTTTTTTCTCACTCTCCATAATGCTTCGAGAATTACAACCGAAACCAAGGTTATGCCGAGAAGAAATCCGTAGCCTATTTTCCAAGATTCCCCTGCACGAGCCACGTGCATCCCGAGTATTATATTCACGGCTGCAAAGAAAAGGCAGAGCCTCCCGGACCAGCTGTGGTAGCAATTCCAGTATCTCCGGTATTTGCTGTCCGTGCTAGGCCGCGTGATAAAAGCAAACACCTGCAAACGTACGAAAAGTAAAAAATAAAAACAAAAAAAAAAAAATCTTCAACATTTGGTTGAGAAGGCTTAAAGAATGTGGATAAGATGGGTGACCTGGAGAATGGTGAGTACGAATACGAAAATGCCGATGCCTTTGTGGGCCCGGATGAAAGCGTGAAGCTTGTGATCGAGTGATAGCCCGACAACTAAAGCAGCAACTCCTAGCAATAAACCGATGAATTGAAATCCCACGTGAAGGTAATACCAAAGTGGATCTTTGTGTTTGAGGTGTCTTGCTATAATTGCTCCTAATGGAAGGAAAAGACCCCATGCGAGTAGAGCCAGCGTCCCGTGAGTTTTCCGGTTCTTGAAAAGGCTTGGAGACAAATAATCATCAGCACTTGTATCGGTTTTACCTGTAAAAAAACAGAACAACAAAAGGAAAAAAAGAGAAAAAGAAAAAGGAAATCATGTTAGCAAATAGTCTAATCTTTAAATAGTAAAAATCAATTTTTTTCTAAAAATATATTAAGACCCGACCTGAAGAAAAATCAAAATAAATGGTCGTTTTGTCGTCGTGAACGGTAAGATGGTGGTGGTGCGGAGTTTTCGTGCTGAACGCCAACAAAATCGGCTGAGTTTTGAGAGTTTTGTTAAATTTCAGCTGAAATGCCAAGTAAATCGAGGGACCTTGTAAAGCTACATATGGTGGAGCATTCGTCAATGGCAGCTCTCCTTCACCGGATTTTATTTCCGAAGGTTTAAACCCTTTCACATAAAACTGTCTTATTTTTCCATGGCCTTCCGAGTTTATCCACCCGACCATGCAGCTCGAGTTGATCATTCGGCCGTCTCTTGAAAATCCGATCCCAACCCAACCAGTTGTGTATATGGTCGAAAGCACAATCGTGATCTCGTTGTTTTTCGATTGGGAATACTGAAAAAAAATCAAGAGAACTTCGAATCATTATATAGTGTTTCTAAGAAGACGAAGAAGAAAATGAAGAAAACGAAGAAATTTACTTACCCTCAACAGATACGAGTTCCAGAGTGGTTTGCAGACCATATCGGGTAAATTGCTGTACGGAAAAGGAATAAACGAAGTCAGATCAGTGTTGCATTGCGCGTTACTAAATCCGGAATAATCTGCAGCAACACTCGAGATTGAGAAGAAGCTCATCAAGACTGCAGCAAAAATGATACAGCTCGATTTCGACGAGCCGAGACGTGAAAATCGATCCATTGTCATAAAAAAAAATTATTTCTTTTTTCCGCGTGTGGTTCTAGAATGAATATAAACGAGGGAAATAGAGAGAGATAATAAGGAAGACACTCTGTAAATTGGCTGTTTGGTGAAGAAAAAAGGGTTAGTTGATTATTATCATCATTATTATTGTCTTGAGTTTGAAGATTGAGAGGTAGATGATGGTGGGGTTCTGAACTGTAGTTGGAGGTGGCTGGTGATCATCATTCCTGCCAAATTTCTTCAGTAGACAAAGAGAGAAAAAGGACCCCCCAGCTGCTTTGTCTCTTTCACTACCAACTTTATTTTTAGTTTGGTAACATTCGAGTTTTTCGGTTCGAGTGTCATTATGAATATGGTCTTCGATCGGCCTATGTTGGCCTTTCGACATTTCATAATGTTCGCCTTTCGACATTTCATATTCGTCAAAGGTTAATCAACAAAATACCCACAACTTAGCTACAAAAATCCTAGCCAAATCTCAAAATTAACAAACATAGAAACATCTTCTACTCAATATCTATTTCTTCTTTCAGAAATTACATTACTGTGGGATTCATTTCAGAAAAATGCCCACTTCAAGAGACATTTGCAGGTTCAGATATAAATTCGACAGCTGAAACATAAATCTCCAAACACCTCAAATTCCCAAACCCACTTTCCACATCAAATCCAAGACCCGGCCGATCTGAACCATACCATCGAACGATACACACATCGCACATTTTCCTCAAATACACACACACACACACAGACATATGTATATATCCTCACACCTCGTTTTGCACCTCGAAAACCTCACTCCTCGACTTGGGCATCCGGAAGATGTGCTCCTCCCCACTCTTGTCGTCCACCTGGAAAACCCACTTGCTCCTGTCGGTACTCCTCACGTGGGCACCACCACCGGGCCCTTTCCTATCGAACCTCCCCACACAATAGCTCCCTGATTTACTCTTCACCCTCCTCTTCCCGAAATCGTTACCCTTCCCAATCATCGTGATCTCCATGCCCCTCCCGACTGGGTGCTTCATGTTCCTAACCCTTGTCTCCCCCTCGACTCCCCTAAGATGGCCAGGCCCGAAACCCTTCTCCCCCTCGACAAGATTGCTTGCCACGACCACCGAACGTCTCGGGTTGACCCCAAGGCTCAGCCGCCTTCGGTCGAGAGACTTGCAGTCGACGAGGGAGAAGTCGATGTTGTCGTACCCGAAAAGGGCCTCGGCCGGGTCCCCTGAGGCCCGAAACTCGACCATATCGCCAAGGCCCGATTCGTGGATGGCCCGGCGGGAAGGGTTTGGGGCGTCGGGCTCCGGGAGGATGCAGACGAGCTTGCCGCCGGTCTGGCGGGCGGCCACCGCAAGGGCTACTGTGGAAGGGGAGACCTCGGAGGTGACCTCAACGATGAGCTTCGCGCTCATGCCGGCGGCAAGGGCCGAGATGAACTCGTTGCTTTTAGGGATTTGGGGGTCGCAAGAGGTGCATTCCCTCTGGCATTTGTTACACTGTTTTTAGACAAAAGATTGTGTCATTCGAATGCGTAAAAGTTGCAACTTTGTTGTTTCCGAAAACAAAATGCCGAAAATCGAGACAAAATGCACAGAATGTGGGCTACAGGAAATGACAAAGATTGAAACAAAATGCACAGATTGCCATCAACTTTATCATTCCCAATACCAAATGGGCTGCAGTAAATGACGAGAAATTGAAAGAAAATGCAAGGAAATTGTCATTCGAATGCGTAAAGATTGCAACTTTATCATTCCCAAAAACACAAACAAATGGGCTGCCACGAAAATTGAAAGAAAATGCAAAGATCGACATTCGAATGCGAAAAAGATTGCAACTTTATCGTTCCCGAAAACAAATGGACTGCAGAAAATGGAACTACGCAGACGTGAAAACGAAAATATGTCATCTTTAACAGGATTTTAAGAGGAAAAAAACCAATGGAAATCAAGATATCTTGGGGCGGGGCGGGGCGGNNNNGGGGCGGGGCGTACCAATTTGAGGGCGTCGAGGTAGGCGTTCGTGGCGGATCTTGGCGACCAATCCATGCTTCTTTTTTGTGATTCAAACTTGCGCCTCGGAATGGGGAATGGGAATATGATCCGTTGTTAGGGTTTTGAATTCTTGATTTTGTGGTTTGTTCTTAATTAATTGTCTTCTTGTATTTGTTTTGGTTGGTTGGTAGGGAAGAGAGAATTAAGGGGGATTCAAACGATTATTAGTGAATGGTATAGATTTACTACTGTTTTGTTTACTGCCGAAAACGAGCAAGCAGACGCGGTACATATGAATCTGAGATACTACTACTCGGCTATTTTGACCTCACCTCAGCTGACAGCTCCCCATTAATAAGTGGGTAAAACTTTTTCAGTAAATTTCAGGGAGAAATAAAAAAAACTAATATATATATATATAGGGTTGGGTTCAAGTGAGAATGGTTTCCCATGAAAGAAATAAGAATATATGTTGTTCATTAGATAAGATGATCTAATGGCTAAAAATAAAGCTTAAATTATACCATCATTAAGGATAGTGTGGTAATTTCTACACACAAGTAGTAGGACCCATATCACCACACATCACATATCTCTCTCCCCACACACACTTGTGTGTAGAAATTACCACACTATCCTTAATGACAGATAAAACTATATATTAGAACTATGTATTATCGCACTTTATATAGTAGAATATTGCACTTTATATAAAAATACATTGCACCTTATAAAACAACATATTTTAAATAACAGATCAAACTATATATTATCGCACTTTATGTAGCAGAATCTTGCACTTTATAAAACAAAATGTTTTCAATAACCGATCGAACTACATAAAAAATATTTTTTTTTTAATATTTTATCTATACATATTTATATTAATTATTTCATCAAACAACAATATAAATTATTAACTATAAAATTTACTATATGAAATATATTTTTTCTATAAAAAATAATTGAACTTCGATATGCATTAGTGTTGAACTAATTGCACGTTAATGTCTTCTGTATTGCACTTTAACGTTAGACGGATTGCACATTAGTGAC